CACCCACCGATCCTTGGGGAACACGTGCCTGGTCTCTGGGGGCCCCTCTCCTTCCATGTACTCCGGTTTCTGGGAGAGAGCATCTGCCCTTACGTTTTCCTCTCCCGGCACATATCGGATCTCGAAGAAAAACTTGGCGAACTCCTGGGACCATCTGATGTGTCTCTGGTTGAGCACTCGTGCGGTCCGCCAGTATTCCAAGTTCTTGTGGTCCGTTCTGACCTGGATCTTGTGCCGTGCCCCTATCAACAGATGTCTCCATTGCCGAAATGCCGCATAGATGGCAAGCAGTTCGCGGTCATACACTGTGTAGTTTTGTTCTGACTTGCTCAGCTTCCTTGAGAAAAAGGCACACAGCATCCAGTTCTGCTTGTCCCCGGGCTGCAAAAGGACTGCTCCAATGGCGTGGTCGGACGCGTCCGTCTCCAGCCTAATGGGCTTCTCCGGATCCACGTGAAGGAGCTGTTCTTCTGAGGCAAACACCCTCTTCAGTTTTTCAAAGGATTGTTGCGCTCCCTCTGTCCACGCAAACTTCTTTTTGCTACTAAGACAATCCGTTATGGGCGCTGTCAAGTGAGCGAAGTTCCTCATGAACTTCCTATAGAAGTTGCTGAAGCCTAGGAACCTTTGCACATCCTTTCTGTTTTTGGGGGCTTTCCATTCCAGCACTGCCTTTACCTTGCTCGGATCCATGGCTAGTCCCTTGTCTGACAGCCTGTATCCCAGGAACTCGACCTCCCTGGCGTGCAATTGGCATTTTTCCAGCTTGACTCACAACTGATGCTTCTTCAATCTCTGTAGCACCTCCCTGACGTCTCTGACGTGTTGCCTTTCATCGTCTGAATAGATTAAGACATCATCCAAAAAGGCTACGCAATTCTTGTACAGCAGGGGCCCCAACACATGGTGCATGAATGCTTGAAAGCAGGCCGAGCCCGATTGCAATCCAAATGGCATCACTAAGTACTCAAAAGCCCCCAGGGGGGTGAACATGGTCGTTTTCCATTCGTCCCCCTCCCTTATCCTGATCAGATTGTATGCCCCCCTGAGGTCCAGCTTGGTAAAAATCTTTCCCTGCCTCACACGTGTCAAAATATTGTCAATCCTGGGCATTGGGAAAGTCACGGGTTCTGATACCAGATTCAGGGCCCTGTAATCCACAACTAATCTGGGCTGATTAGTCTCTTTCTTGTCCACAAAGAACACTGGACTGCCCCCCACCGCCTTAGATTCCCTTATGAAACCTCTCTTCAGGTTCTTGTCAATAAACTGCCGCAGCTCCTGCATCTCCCGGTCGGACATGGCATACAGCTTACCCACTGGTAACTGAGCCCCTGGAAGCAGGTTGATTTGGCAGTCAAAGGGCCTGTGGGGGGGTAGTTTGTCTGCCTCCCTTTCACTGAAGACCTCCTTCAAATCAGGATATTGTGGTGGCACCTGCCCTTTTTGCTCCAGGGCCAACCCCGCCACCCTGGCTACAGTCATCCTTGGTTCCTTCCCTCCCAGACAGTGTTCTGAGCAGTAAGCTGACCCAAAAGTGACCGACCGCTGATGCCATGACACCACCGGGTCATGTAGTGCCGGCCAGCTCATTCCCAGTATTATTGGGGGTCCTGCCAGCGTGGCCACGTGAAAGGCAATGATTTCCGTGTGCCTAGCAACCCTCATTCGCATTGGCGGTATTTGGTGTGTCATTTCCCCTCCCAGGAGCTCCCTGCCATCGATGGTGGTCACCTGCAAGGGAAAATCTAGTGGCAACAGGTGGAGTTGGTGCTCCAGAGCGAAGTCTCTGCTGAAGAAATTACACGAGCTGCCAGAATCTAGCAGTCCCTCCACCTTGACGGGGTGCCCGTTTGGGAGTTCTAGCACCACCTCTATGGCTACTGCTGCCTTGGGGGGGTCAGGCTGGGGCACTTCTATTGGTTGCTGACCTGATGCCGGGTCATGTAGTGCCAGCCAGCTCATTCCCAGTATTATTGGGGGTCCTGCCAGCGTGGCCACATGAAAGGCAATAGTTTCCGTGTGCCTAGCAACCCTCATTCGCATTGGCGGTATTTGGTGTGTCACTTCCCTTCCCAGGAGTTCCCTGCCATCGATGGTGGTCACCTGCAAGGGAAAATCTAGTGGCAACAGGTGGAGTTGGTGCTCCAGAGCGAAGTCTCTGCTGAAGAAATTACACGAGCTGCCAGAATCTAGCAGTCCCTCCACCTTGACGGGGTGCCTGTTTGGGAGTTCTAGCACCACCTCTATGGCTACTGCTGCCTTGGGGGGGTCAGGCTGGGGCACTTCTATTGGTTGCTGACCTGGCTGCTGGCCCCGCTGGTTGGCAGCCAGGCGTTGGCGTTTCCCTGCGCCTGCCCCTCCTCCCCCTTCTCGTCGTGGCCTGCAGCCCCCATCATGCCTTGCCAGGCCTTTCGTTGAGGGCAGACCTTTGCAAAATGTCCCGGTCGCTGACAGAGGAAACACTTCTTGGTATTTTTCCACTCCTTCACCTCCCTTTTCTGCCCTTCACCGGCGTTTGAAACTTCGCGCGCGCGCACGCTGCATCAATTTCCATCGGCTCTGCCGCCTGGGAAGGCTCCCTCGGCATTTCAGGAATGCGGTTGTCATGGAAACGTTCCGCCCTTATCTCCCGCTTCTCCTGAGCCTGCACTTCCTGGCGTACCCCGATCGCAAGCACAGTCTTTGTGAGTTCATCCATCGAGCGCGGGCGGGGCGCTCGGGACAATTCACTTCAGGGGACAAACCCCCCTCAAACAACATTTGCATAGGTTCAGAGCCGAGATCCCACCCGAGCTTGTGGACTAACATCGTGAACCACGACCAGTAGTTCCTGACGGACAGGCTCCCCTGCTTGACCCCATCAGCTCCCGGCGTGTCACGCTTTGCTCAACCTCACTGGAGTACATCGCGTCCAACGCCTGATAGAATTTCTTGAGATCTTTCAATGCATCATTCTGCATCGCCATTAGGGGCCTGATCCATTCACACGCCCCATCCTGCAGATGTCCCACAATGTAAGCCACCCTCTCCCCGTCATTGGCAAAGTCATCTTTCTGCAGTTCCAAAGCATACTGGATTTCCGTTCGGAATGCATTGTAGTCCTGGGGCTTTCCACCAAATTTGTGTACCAGCCCCTGAACCTTCCTCCCTATCGGGGTGGCTCTGACCTGTGCATCCTGAGCCCGTCTCTCCTCCAGCCGCGCCGTCAGGGTAGCAACATGCGTCTCCAGGTCTCGGTTCCTCTCTACCAGACCTCGCATCAAGGCTTCTTGCTCTGTTCCTCCGGCCGGCTCTGTTTGGCTCATCATGCTGCCTCTCTAGTACTGCGCACAAGCAACGTCAAGGACTGATGGATTGCTGTAATGGTTCAAGGGGTTGCTCGTGCGTAAGCCGGTGGCCACACCTGGCTGGGTTGCCTAAGTGAACCTTTTCTGTCCGGACAGCCACTCACCCGTGGCTGTCTCAATCGCTGGCAGAATCCGTCAGTGGGCGTTTCTTAAACTTCTTCCAGCAAAGAAGTTCTTTCACACCCAGTCTCCTCCTACTTTCCCTGCGCGGAAGCCTTCTGCGCAAGGAAGGCGTAGGCAGCGGAGGACCCTTCCTCCCCCCGCTGGTCCCCGGCAAGGAGTCATGTGACTCCCTCTCAGATTCCCCCATCTGCCCCCCTTCTCCACTGGAGCTGAGCTGATTCCCTTCCCCAGAAGATGGGCTGTCTCTCCCAATCCTGGGACGCTCTCTTGCATCCCTCTGGAGCCCTCTCTCTCCCTCCAGAACTGATGGCAGTTCCCTGACACTCATTCATGAGAAAGTCATTGGGACACTGAGGTTAACCCTGAGATAATATCATGATCCTGCCTTTAACTAAGTGTACTTTGGGGATCGACCAAAGGTATTAATTTGTTTACTGGAACTATAGGCCAAATGCCACATCAAACAAGTTTTTCAGTGGTGCATCTGTGTGGTGTGAGAGAAATCCTTATTGAGTAGGACATTACATTGCAACAGATAAACATTTTAATATTCTACTCTAGAATTCCAATTGTAATGCAATAAAATACATTGTATATTTAAAGATATAAAAGAAGCTATAAACTACAATAAAAAACAACTGAGAACCCTATCATAGAATCATAGAGTTGGAATAGACCACAAGGGCCATCGAGTCCAACCCCCTGCCAAGCAGGAAACACCATCAGAGCACTCCTGACATATGGTTTTCAAGCCTCTGCTTAAAGACCTCCAAAGAAGGAGACTCCACCACACTCCTTGGCAGCAAATTCCACTGTCGAACAGCTCTTACTGTCAGGAAGTTCTTCCTAATGTTTAGGTGGAATCTTCTTTCTTGTAGTTTGGATCCATTGCTCCGTGTCCGCTTCTCTGGAGCACCAGAAAACAACCTTTATCCCTCCCCTATATGACATCCTTTTATATATTTGAACATGGCTATCATATCACCCCTTAACCTCCTCTTCTCCAGGCTAAACATGCCCAGCTCCCTTAGCCGTTCCTCATAAGGCATCGTTTCCAGGCCTTTGACCATTTTGGTTGCCCTCCTCTGGACACGTTCCAGTTTGTCAGTGTCCTTCTTGAACTGTGGTGCCCAGAACTGGACACAGTACTCCAGGTGAGGTCTGACCAGAGCAGAATACAGTGGCACTATTACTTCCCTTGATCTAGATGCTATACTCCTATTGATGCAGCCCAGAATTGCATTGGCTTTTTTAGCTGCCGCGTCACACTGTTGGCTCATGTCAAGTTTGTGGTCAACCAAGACTCCTAGATCCTTTTCACATGTACTGCTCTCAAGCCAGGTGTCCCCCATCTTGTATTTGTGCCTCTCATTTTTTTTGCCCAAGTGCAATACTTTACATTTCTCCCTGTTAAAGTTCATCTTGTTTGTTTTGGCCCAGTTCTCTAATCTGTCAAGGCCGTTTTGAAGTGTGATCCTGTCCTCTGGGGTGTTAGCCACCCCACCCCCCGGTTTGGTGTCATCTGCAAATTTGATCAGGATGCCCTTGAGTCCATCATCCAAGTCGTTGATAAAGATGTTGAATAAGACTGGGCACATAAGATCATGGCACATTGCAGTTGCTGCAACGGGTAGCAAAATGATTGAGTGGTCCAGCAAGAGCTTCAGCAATTCTCAAGTGGTCCGTGGGAAGAAAAGTATCAGAACCACTGGTTTAGAACTTCAGAAAAGAGAAACAACAGAACATCGTTAATAGTGCAAAGACTTCCTTGGTTCACTTGGAGAACTGACATGTTTCTTCAGAATATTCTACACGGCTTGTGCTGGTTTGGGCCAGATGCATCTCCACAGGAAGTCAAAAATGGAGTCTGGCAAGTAAGAGAGAGGAACGTATAAGAGTTTGGCATCCCATCCTGGACAGTAGCGGATGTGAGGGGAGCAGGAGGTCAGGGCATGTTCTATAGAGTCTGTGACCGGTTGAAAGTTGCTGCTGCCAGTGAAGGAGAAGAATTTCAATAATTTGAGACCTGTGATATAGGAAACAAGAGTAAAGTTAGTGGTACAAAAATATATATGCATTTATTTCTGCATTTATTTATTTATTTAATTTGTATGCTGCCCTATAACTTCACATGAGATAACCTAAATATTTTGGGTTCTGAAAGGATATGTTAGCTTCTGGATTTCTCTGCCTAGGAGATCTAAATCTAAGGAGGGGCATCGGGAACATATTCTGTTGCTTTAAGACAGAACCTTTAGCAGCAGCTGATTGTTGTTGTTTAGTCGTGTCCCATTCTTCGTGGCCCCATGGACCAGAGCATGCCAGGCACTCCTGTCCTCCACTGCCTCCCGCAGTTTGCTGAAACTCATGTTGCTAGCTTTGAGAACACTGTCCAACCATCTCGTCCTCTGTCGTCCCCTTCTCCTTGTGCCCTCCATCTTTCCCAACATCAGGGTCTTTTCCAGGGAGTCTTCTCTTCTCATGAGGTGGCCAAAGTACTGGAGCCTCAGCTTCAGGATCTGTCCTTCCAGTGAGCACTCAGGGCTGACTTCCTTAAGAATGGATAGGTTTGATCTTCTTGCAGTCCATGGGACTCTCAAGAGTCTCCTCCAGCACCATAATTAAAAACCTTTAGCAATAGGTGATTAGACAGTGTCAATATGTATTTCAGTCAGTAAGTGGGGCTCGATGGTTGTATCTAGGTGAGGGTTGCCATATGCCGGGTTCAGGCCCGGGCAACCCACTGGCAGAGGAAGAGGTAGCACGATCCCGGTGGGGTGCCATCGTGGCTGCTGCCCCCCGCCACACCCCCAGGACACACGCCCTGCCCCAGCCTGCCCCCAGCTGCTCTCCGCCTCCCCCCTCTGTGCCGGAGCATGAAGCTCTGCCACTGGGGCGACCTGGCTGTTCTCCCTCTCTGCGGCTTTTAAAAAAAGCATAAACTGGTCTCCTTTCTTAGAGCTGCCTCCCAGGATCAAGCGGGTAGCGGACACTGTTTTGGTGTGGGTGTCTGTGCATCTTTCTCCCCCCCCCCAGTAATCTCTTCCCTTTTTTCCACTGGACTCGACCGTGTGTGTGCTTATGTGTGTATAACTGTCTCTTTGTGTGTTTTTAAAGGGGGGGAGGGGGGAGATTACACACACACACACACACCCATGTGTCAGTGTGTCCATTGGAGGGGGGATGTAGTCGAAAAGCTTGGGAATCATAACAACATTTTACTGATGGGTGGAGAGGGGTGGGATTTGGAAACCAGCAATTTAGCCTGGTGGGTCTCAGGGTCTCTCTCTCTCTCTCTCTCTCTCTCTCTCTCTCTCTCTCTCTCTGTGTGTGTGTGTGTGTGTGTGTTCCACTGCAACAGTGGGACTTATTAGCACATGCTTTAACTGCAGGCTTTCGCACATTGCAAACCAAACTGAATTGTTCCCCCCCGCCCATTTCTACTCACTGCGCTCAAAGTAGCGCTGCCCATAGGCTTCCTTGATGTCAGAAGGGGCTTGGCTCCATGCATTCTTGTAGCTCTCTATCATGTTTGACTGAATGGGTGTTTTGAAAGAACCGGGTTCAATAATGCTGACTCGGACCCCGAAAGGATGAATCTCTCGCCTGAATTGAGGAGGAAAAATCAAGAAACACGTCTTCTTACTGAACCAGAATAATAAGGAAGATCATGATTTGGCTTCCATGGAATAGAACATCTTTCCTTGAAGAAGAAGAAGAAGAAGAAGAAGAAGAAGAAGAAGAAGAAGGAGAAGAAGGAGAAGAAGAAGGGAGAGAGGGAGATGTGGTGAAATGCAGCTTCCTGTCTTCTTCTGTCTTGAGGCACCAGGGCATTGTCTATGACCCGGCATCAGGTATATTCAGAGGCAGCCACCAGGAGGTTGGTGCTTACAACTCTTGCTGGTACATTAAAATGGTTTCCTCAAGGAAAAGAGCTGACTTAGGTGTGCAAACCCCTGCTGATTACTTGGTAAGTCTCTGGTGCAGTCCACATGTCCCAGCACCTGCTCTTTATTCATTGCTGTCCTCTGCTTGAAACTTAGCTGGAGAAGCAGACATCCCACTAAAGCAAGGAGAAAGAGGAAGATACAGAACTATCATGTTTACCTCAGGACGTCAGAGAAGGCTTCCACGCTGTACTTGGATGCGGTATAGGGTACTGAAAAGCATGCCAATCGTCCCATTATACTGGACATGTTGACCACCCTCCCTCTGGCTCTCCTCACCAGGGGCAGCATGTGTAGCGTCATGTCAATCATCCCAAGAAAGTTGACACCGATCATCTTTGCAACGCCATCTTTGGTCAGCCACTCACTGGGAGCTGATGGGGCACCAGTGCCTGCATTGTTCACCAAACCCCAGAGCCCTGTGTGAGAAGAAAAAATTATTCTTATTGTTCCAGGTTCCCACCTGCCCTAATAATTGGATATACACAATTCTTTGGAAATGTGGGTATATCTGCATTCTTGTGAGTGCTGTGTGTGCGCTATGCACTATATGCCAAGGATGACGCTGTTAAGTCAAGGCACCCATCTTAACTTCTATCCCACACATCTTTTGCTCACTTAGTGCACAGACACTCTTGCAACTTCCGTCATTGCTCGCTGTCAAATGAGCACAGCACTAAAGTGGAGGATAGTATGGAGCCCTGGGCATCAATTTGCACAGCAGCCACCTGATTTCCCTGCATGCTATCAGAGAATGGCGTCTGTAGTTTGGGCCTACGTTTTGCACAGGTTGGTTAGGAGATTTTATAGTGAATTTGCTATAAAATTAATAAGACATAATACGTGTAGAATATAGCATGCATGGAACACTGAGAGGGTGTTTATGAGAGGGCGATGAGAGGAATAACTAAGAAAGAGGGGTTTGTATCATTAATAAATTATTTATATCATTTATTAACAATAGTACAATAATCTCCCTTCTTGTCTCAGTCTCAGCAGCCACTATTGAGAAGTTATCTTAATCTTTAGATTGCATCAGGCAGCATTTCTGAAGAAAGGGAGGGAACACATATCTCCTCCTTCTGAGTCATTTTCCTGGTGTGGATTGCAGCTCCTCCCAGCTGCTCTTAGGAGGAAAAATTCAGAGTCCAGCATCACCTGCTTGTCAGTTAAAGTTACCATTTTGTACCATCACTTACGGCTTTTCATATATGTGCTTTAAAGAGCAGCTTGATCTGTGGACATTATCAGGTGTCAATGTTTCTCTTCACACCACAAGGAGCTTCACCTGCTGATGTCACAAAATAAGCTGCTGTCAAAGGCACAAAGCAAATGTCTTTCAGATCAGTTGGCAACCCTAGAAGCTTCTTATTGAGGTTGAATTAAGCTGATTGCATAGTTTTAATTTTTTTTTTTACTCACTGATATTTGGATATTTGGATTAATTGTTTCTAATAAGGTTTTTGAATATTACTTGTTCATTTGATATATTTAGAGTCTCTTTGGCGACATTGTGTGGGAAAGTGGAATAAAGATACAGATGATACAGAAAATCCCCGGCCTGATCCTTCCAGAGGCACTGGCTAATCAGTTTGAGGTTCTTCAACTGCTTGCCAATTTAAATTTAAATTTAAAAATATATAATTAATTTTTTTAATTAAGATTAAAATCTTGCAGCATTGATTATGCTCTCTTGTATCTGTAGACATTATCAGATAGGAACATGTATCTTCATACAAAATGAAGTTTCACTGTGTGACTTCACAGAACAAGCTGCTGTCAAAGGCATGAAGCAATAATCTTTCAGGTTATTTGGCAATCCTAGTAGCTCTTGACAGAGGCTGAATTAAGGTGACCCCATGGAATTCCTTCCCCATTCATTGCCTTATTGATTTTAGTTGTTTCTAATACTTTTTTAAATGGTCATACTTTTTCGTTTTGATATATTGGGAGTCACTTTGGCCACATTTTGTGGGAAAGTGGAGTAAAGATAAGCAGATGATGATACAGATAATCCCTGGCCTGATCCAGAGCATGGAAACAACAGAACAAAAAGCTACCTTTGTTCCCCACTTGTTCTTTCACCCACTCCGTCGCTGCCGCCACACTCTCCTTACTGGTGACATCCAGAACGGTGGTTTTCAAGCGCTCTGAGGTGACCTTGTCCAGCTGCTCTGCCCCCTTCTGGGTGGTACAGGTTGCCAACACCTGCAGGCCCCGGGCATCCAGATGCCTGGCAAGGTGGTTCCCAAAGCCAGAGGAACAGCCGGTGATGAAGACATATTTCTCCGTCAGGTTCTCCACTGTCTGTCTCTCCTGGTACCATCGGTGAAGGAAGTAAAGCCCCAGCAGGGCAGCCAGGTAGAGCCACATGGCTGAAACCTGCAGGGAAGAAGCTTGCAAGAGTGAGGGCACACAGGCACCTAGCAAGCCTTGGAGAAACCAAATCCCAACTCCTGCTTCACCATGAAGCTTGCTGCTCTATTTATCCTCCCTCGCAGTGTTATTGAGGGGAAGGAGAAATTTTGCATGAATCAGGAATTGCCTCTTATTTGCCCCAGGGTGTGATGGGTGGAATACAGCTATATCTGCGAAGGACCACTGACGAATAAGTAGAAATGGATTTTTTTTTGCTTGCAGGTTTGCACCAAGGCAAAATAAATACCTTTCAGGCCTGTGGTCCAAATCGAAGGCTGCATCCTTGGGAGTATTGGCAACTAGTTGGAGCTTAGCTCCTCAAATTGCCCTTGTCATCTTTTCTGTCTAAACCTGTCTCTTAAACACACCCCACCCTGCAATGCATGTGATGTGAGGTAATTCTGTTCTGGGAGAAAGTACATGCTGAGACACTGTGAATGTAGCTGGTTCTGCTGGCTTAGACAATGATACTTCCTGCAAAATGTAAGGAAAGGCTTCCAAGCAGGTAAGATGATGCTCTTGTTTTGTATTTGGCTTACTTTGAGGAGCTGCCAAAACAATGAAATTGTTAATTGTGAGTTATGGTCAAAATGCCTGCAGCCGTCTTACATCAAGTGAGTGTATTTCACCATGTTTCAGAAAGGCGACTGGACGTTCTCCAGGGTGCCTTTTATGGTTGCCACATTCCAAGCTCCAAAGGAACCAGAGGCTGCTCTACCTGTCAGGTGTAACTTCACAGATATTAATGAGCAGTTGGTAAGATTTATAAGCCTTTTATTACAGCATCATGTTGCAAGCACAAATACACAGCTCTTCGCAAGGAGGCAGTTGCCTCGTCGTGAAGGCTGCTCCCCGCAAGGCCCTTTCCACCTGGCCTAGGGGGTGAGGCCCACACTCACCAGCCCTACTGAAGAGGCGCCTGCTGAGACGTTGCTATCCCTGACAACAAACCCTAACTATTGGATTCTTTTGCCCCATCTTTTTGTGCCTGCCAAACAGTCGTGTCATGCTTATGGTAATATTTTATTCTCTTGTTAATTATGCCGGTTTAAATGTGCATTTTATATTTGACTTGACTTAGCAATTTTTTTTGTAGGTTTTTTTTTAAATATTTAATATTTTGTGTTAGTTTTGTTTGTGTTAAATATGTATTCTGTAGTTGACCTCCTTTGCAATGTTTTATTTGAAAATTTTGAGATAATATTTTAGCTTTCTGTTAATTATGTTGCTTTGACTGTATACTCTATATTTGACTTTCTTCAGAAATGTTTGATTCTGGATTGTTTTATTGATGTTTTAATAAACCGCTTTGAGATTTTTCTTAAAAATATAAAGCGGTATAGAAATGAAATCATCATTTGGACCTCCAAGTCCGAGGGGAGGGGGGGTCCTCCATGCTCTCAAGTGATGTCTCAACTAACTTCCCCCTCCCTGCCAGAGTTCAGGAAACCTGAAGTCCACGGTGGGCATGCATGTAAGCATTGATTTACCTGTGAGCAAGGCCATTTTTGGGGGGGTGTGGGGAACCAGTTTTCTGATATACCAGACTTGGGGTTCAAATTTTTTTTCCACTTGGCCCCACCTATTGCAAGCCACCTAAATTACATAATTGGCTACGTGACTGATTTGTATTTGAGTTGGTATTGTAATTTGGTATTGCTATAATAAGGCTTATATTGGATATTTTTTTAATGAAAATTAATAAAAAATATTTTTAAAAAATCTGAGTGGAAAAGATTCTGGGGTGAGAGATTCTGGGTCATTTTTGCCAGTTCTACATAGTTCTTAAACTTCTCTTGCCATTGTTCTTTAGTTGGTATTTCTCCAGTCTTCCAATTTTGTGCAATCAACATTCTTGCTGCTGTAGTGGCATACATAAATAAAGTCCTCACTTCCTTTGGTATGTCTTGACCTAAAATACCTAACAAAAAGGCTTCTGGTTTTTTTACAAAAGTTATTTTCAATTTTTTTCCAATTCATTATATATCATTTCCCAGTAGGATTTTACCTTTTTGCAATCCCACCACATATGATAAAACGTACCTTTTGTTTCACATCTCTAACACTCTTTCTTTTCATTTTTATACATTTTTGCCAATTTAACCGGTGATAAATACCATCTATACATCATTTTCATATAATTCTCTCTCAATAATATGCAATCTGTAAATTTCCACAATTTTATCCAGTCCTGAAATTGTATATTATGTCCTACATCTTGCGCTCATTTGATCATTGCTGATTTTACTTCTTCATCTTTGGTCTCCCTGGAGGAGACTCTTGAGAGTCCCATGAACTGCGAGAAGATCAAACCTCTCCATTCTGAAGGAAATCAGCCCTGAGTGCTTACTGGAAGGACAGATCCTGAAGCTGAGGCTCCAGTACTTTGGCCACCTCATGAGAAGAGAAGATTCCCTGGGAAAGACCCTGATGTTGGGAAAGATGGAGGGCACAAGGAGACGGGGATGACAGAAGATGAGATGGTTGGACAGTGTTCTCAAAGCTACAAACATGAGTCTGACCAAACTGCAGGAGGCAGTGGAGGACAGGAGTGCCTGGCATGCTCTGGTCCAGGGGGTCACGAAGAGTCGGACACGACTAAACAACACCTCCTTTTTACATGTAGATGCACAATTAATCTCATGCATTTTATATAGAGAGGGGACAGGGGAGATGAGTTCATTTAATCCACATTCCTTTCTGAACAACATTAGTGAAGGGAAAGGATTCTACCATTTGGTAGTATTTGTACAGTGGTGCCCCGCAAGACGAATGCCTTGCAAGACGGAAAACCCGCTAGACGAAAGGGTATTCCGTTTTTGAGTTTTTGAGTTCGCAAGACGAATTTCCCTATGGGCTTGCTTCGCAAGACGAAAATGTCTTGCGAGTCTTGCCATTTCCCCCCCGCTTCCCCCCTTTTTCTAAGCCGCTAAGCCGCTAATAGCCTTTTAGCAGCTCAGCCGCTAAGCCTTTAATAGCCGCTAAGCCGCTAAGCCGCTAATGGGGTTGCTTCGCAAGACGAAAAAACCGCTAGACGAAGAGAATCGCAGAACGGATATAACTTGCTGCTGGAATGGAATACACAGGATGAAATAGTTAAATCAGCTATGATCAAGTGGGCACAACACATTGGTCACAACATTATGTTTGAGGACTGGGAACGGTTGTGGACCACCGGTATTAAATTCACGGCATGTAATGCCTTAAAAGAAAATATTATGAAAATGATTTATAGGTGGTACATGACTCCAGTCAAGCTTGCAAAAATCTACCACTTGTCTGATAATAAGTGTTGGAAATGTAAAGAGTCTGAAGGTACATCCTTTCACCTTTGGTGGACGTGCCCAAGGACTAAGGCTTTCTGGGAAATGATTTATAATGAAATGAAAAAGGTATTTAAATATATCTTCTTGAAGAAACCAGAGGCCTTTCTCCTGGGTATGGTCGGCCAATTGGTGTTAAAGAAGGATAGAACTTTCTTTATGTATGCTACAACAGCAGCAAGAATACTCATTGCAAAGTATTGGAAGACAGAAGATCTACCCACCGTGGAAGAATGGCAGATGAAGATGATAGACTACATGGGACTGGCAGAAATGACTGGCAGAATCCGAGACCAGGGAAGAGAGACGGCGGAGGAAGATTGGAAGAAATTTAAGGACTATCTTAAGAAACATTGTAAAATTATTGAATGTTGGAACGATGTTGATTTAGAAATTAAGGGGTTTTCAGCTGTAATGATCATGAAATTAAGAAAAGAAGGGTCAAAAATTAAATAGAAATTAGGGGAGGGATTTGCTGAATTGAATTAATTTGAGATTGGAATACAGAAAGGGGAGGTATGAGGAGATCGGGAAAGTAGGTTTTGACAAATATAAGGGTTTAAAATTATACATGTTGTTGTATGTGTTTTTTATGTTTGTATTTTTGCTTTTTATGTTTTCTGTTTTTTCTATTTTATATAAATTCTTTAAAAAACCTTAATAAATATCTTCTAAAAAAAAAAAAAACAGGACCCACCCTACTGGGGGAGGCTGTAATTTGTTTTTAATTGTTTTTAATATCATATTTTAAATTGTTGTGACCTGCCGTGGGAACTAATGGGGAAAGGTGAGCAATAAAGCAAGTGTGTGTGTGTGTGTGTGTGTGTGTGTTATTGTTGGCATTGTCTGCTTCGGGAGACGATGGAGTGCATCTCCAGAGGTGAAGTCAAACCACTGTGTTAGCAGCACCTAAGTGACCTCTCTGGGGCACAAGCCTGAGCAGTGTGTATGGAGGTCCTGGGCTGCCCAGACAACAAGACCCCCCTCTTGGCCTCACTGATGTGGTCCAAAAGAAAGCAGAGCAAGATGTGTAGGAAATTGAACTTTGAGTGTGGCAGCACCTGCATGTAGGAACCCCCAGACCATGGGCATCGGGCAGGCACCTCCTAATTTTGTGTGTGTGTTTAGACAAGCCTACCCATACATGTTGAATGTTGAAAGTCATAATCCATTTTTACCTTATTGCTGATTTTATTTTATCGAATGTTTTAGGTAGTTGTTTTTAACTGTTTCCACAGATCATTTTATTGTTTTCCACTCTTTGTAAACCACTTTGAGTTTTTTGTTTTCTTTTACAACCCATCAGTGCTAGATTTTAGGAAATGTAGACAAGGAAGGAAGGAAAGAAGGAAATGTTACCAGACTGGTGAGGAAGAGAAAGTGTGGGTTTCTTGGTTTCAGAGGCAGCCAAACATTGGATGCAACATACAGCCTATGATATCCATAAGAATAGAATACTCAATGAACTGTGTTTGGCCAAACCTTTGTTCCCCACTTGTTCTTTCACCCACTCCGTTGCTGCCGCCACTTCAGCTCCCCCCCCCCCCTGCCGCCACTTCAGCTCCCCCCCCCTGGATTTCCCCTGTCTGCTTTCCTCTCCCTCAGGCTTTGCACATTCACATGTGTCTGCACACGCGCACACATTAAATTAAGCCAATACAGTGGTACCTCTGGATACGAACAGGATCTGTTCTGGAGCCCCGTTTGCATCTAGAAGCAAACGTAACTAGTGATGGCACGTCTGCGCACGCGCGCGCCGTTTTTCGCCACTTCTGCGCATGTGCATGACGTCATTTTGAGCCTCTGCACATGCGCAAGCGGCGAAACCCGGAAGTAATGAGCTCTGTTAATTCTGGGTTGCCATGGAGCGCAACTCGAACGTGCTCAACACGAAGCGCATTCCACCCGAGGTATGACTGTACAAGATTAAGCAACACAGCCATTGAGCCAAAGGTTCATCATCACTGCTCCGAAAGGAGGACAAGCACAAACCTTGGTCCTTGCACAGATGCCAGAAGATGCCTTTAAACATAGCAATGGAAAATCAAAGACTGAACAATTATTTTTATGAGTTTCTTACCTCCTCTGTAGAACTTTCAACTGCTGGCAGTTGATGGGGTTATTTTTATGAGTTTCTTACCTCCTCTGTAGAACTTTCAACTGCTGGCAGTTGATGGGGTGTTGTTCCTGAACTTGGAGTCCTTTGTGTTACACAACCAATGCTTGGACTTTTTAAGCTTCAGTCCGGAAGTGTTGGAGTCCTTTTCCCATTGGCTGGGGGGCATGTACCAGTTTCAGATTTCAGATTTCTTCTCTGCTTCTACCTCTGATGCCCTCTAGGTGGTACTTGGAGGGAACAGATCCTTCCAGTTAGGCTGGGCATGGAATATTTGCTCATTAAATTCAGAAAAAAAGAGGAAAAATACAAGTACATTTGCCCTAGCGTGTGTGTGTGTGTGTGTGTGGTGTGTACACACACATCTACACACAAACACACATACATTTTTCTTATGTTCTGAATATAAAAAGACACTTTTATGGGCTTCTTATAAATGGAGAAAGAGAGAGAGAGAGTGCAAGAAAAAAAGCAAAAAGTGGAGCTATATTTCCTGATGCGCACAATTGATTTGCTTAAATTGGAAAAACATCTCTTGATCTTGTACTTCTCATTATATTCTCCAGTTCATCATATGACAAAATATGTCATATGTGTTTAAAAATCAGGTCAATAAAGAATCACTAAAGAATGAGGGAAATACGTGGATTATTTAAAAAATATTTGCAAACATTTAACTACATTAGCAGGAAGAACACAACACAAGAAGTTAAATAATAACTTATTTGGAAACTAGACAGTAACAATTATAAGGAACTATAGGGGAAATGCAGTGATAAAAGTGAAACCAGAAGATGAAACAGAAGGGGAGGAGGGAAGTCAAATTATGTTTTTATTTCTGAAGACGTACTACATTTCATATCTTTTGTAAAACTGAAAACTCGAAAAATAAAATTAACAAACAAAACAAATTGGGGATTGGACCTTGAGCAAGTGCAATATGTGATGCAGTGATGGCAAAATAAGGCATATGACCTGTTGGATGCTAATGCTGGGCTTGCACAATATCTGAGCTTAGTGTTGCTTATCTCTAGATAATTATAGGATCATACTGTTCCTCTTCATTTGGTTGTTCAGTGAATAAGCAGCTAGCTAGAGCTATTGTTTATACTTGTTTTAGCTTGCCTCTGGTGCAAGCAGCTCATTGCTTCATTTCTCCTTCCCCTCAGTAACACTGTGAGGGAGGCTAAATAGAGCAGCAAGCTTCATGGTGGAGCAGGGGTTGGGATTTGGTTTCTCCAAGGCTTGCTAGGTGCCTGTGTGCCCTCACTCTTGCAAGCTTCTTCCCTGCAGGTTTCAGCCATGTGGCTCTACCTGGCTGCCCTGCTAGGACTTTACTTCCTTCACCAATGGTACCAGGAGAGACAGACAGTGGAGAACCTGACGGAGAAATATGTCTTAATCACCGGCTGTTCCTCTGGCTTTGGGAACCACCTTGCCAGGCATCTGGATGCCCGGGGTCTGTGGGTGTTGGCAACCTGTACCACCCAGAAGGGGGCAGAGCAGCTGGACAAGGTCACCTCAGAGCACTTGAAAACCACCGTTCTGGATGTCACCAGTAAGGAGAGTGTGGCGGCAGCAACGGAGTGGGTGAAAGATCAAGTGGGGAACAAAGGTAGTTTTTTGTTGTTTTGTTTCCATGCCCTTGATCAGGCCAGGCATTTTCTGTATTATCATCTGCTTATATTTCCCACAAAATGTGGCCTGAGTGACTCCCAATACAGTGGTACCTCGGGTTAAGTACTTAATTTGTTCTGGAGGTCCGTTCTTAACCTGAAACTATTCTTTTTTTTTTAAAAAAATGATATTTATTACTTTTCGAACAGTTTCAACACAACACTACAAACAAAAAAAAAGGGAAAAAAAGAACAATACAAATACAATACAAAAACACTACATACAAAACAAAACAAAAACAATTTAAAAACACCTCAAACATTTTCAATATCTTATCTTTCATTCGCTTATTTCCAACGACCTCCTCACACCTCCCTTTTTGTATTCCACTTCTGTTAATTGTTTCAGCAATTCCTTTCCATCTTCCTCTGTTTTCTATCCTATAATTATCTTAACACATTCTTGCCTTATTTTTTCCTTTAATTTTCTATTAATCTATTTATACTTAATTCCTTATAACATTTCTACTAAAGCCATATAACTTCATTCCAACATTCTTCTAACATTCATTAATTTTACAATATTTCTATAAATAGTCTTTAAACTTTTTCCAGTCTTCTTCCCCCGACTCTTCTCCCTGGTCTCGGATCTTGCCAGTCATTTCCGCCAATTCCATATAGTCCATCAACTTCATCTGCCATTATCCAACACTTCAGTGCTTTCAAGAAGCAGCCATTCTCTCAGCCAGCAAAAAGCAGATGGTTCACAACAAAGTTTAGGGGTCTGGCAGGGCAAGTCCACCTCCTTCTTTGGCATCCGTCAATATCTTAAATTTTACTCGAGGCTTCCTGCCCTGCCAAACAAATCTAGAGACGTCCCTCTGCCACCTCCTGAAACAATCCATCCCATCCAAAGCTTGCAATGTTTGAAACAAAAGCAACATCCCCGACAACACAGCAACCCTCATCCCCACCACAGCAACTCGGCCCAACAATAACTTCAGATTTGTCCATATTTCCAAATCCCCCTTCTCTTCAATCCAACGTCCTTCACAGTTATCCTTGAATAAATTCACATTTCTGGCGGTCATACTAACCCCCAAATTCCTCTCTTTCTTAACCGATGTTAGTCCTGTCTCCTCCTGAAGCTCTGTCAAGCTTTCCTTTTCCTCAGGTAGGGCTCTGATCCTCAAATTCATCTGTTTCTCTTTAAGTTCAATCATAACAAATGTCAGCTTATGTTCATCAAGTTGTCCTTGTATGGATGGGACTCTCTCTCTCTCCAGTTGTATTGCGTTACATTCAGCAGCAAGGGTTTTCTCCTTGATTTCATCCACAGTTTGCCGCATCAGAGTAGATTCCTGTATCAATTTCTGGATGGTTTCTGTATTGGTATTCACCTTTTGTCCCAGATTATTTAAACTTTCTACAATTAAGTCTATTTTAATATTTGCAGCATCCACTTTCACATTTATCACGTCTGTTTTCTTGTGAAGCTGTTCCAGCGAATCGTTTATTTTCACTAATACGACCGCTAAGGCCTCTTCTGTTGACATTCCGTCTGTTTTTTCCTTTCCATTTGCCATAACACTTAAGAGATTCAAGGTCAATCCCAGAATCTCACAATTCTTTATCTTGCAGCTGGAAATTCCCCTAGCCCAGCTCCTGTAGAGCAACCAATTTCAAAAGCTTCCACTAGGGGAAAACAGTTTCTATTTGTATTAGTCAGTACTGTCCTCTTTTAAACAATGTTCCAATAATCCAAAGTTAGTTTGAGTTTTCAGTTACTTTTACTCCTCTTTAAAAGCAGCCGGAGACAGTAGAAACAATGTATTCTCTTATTTAGCTACCTGTCAATGAACGTTCTAAACGCTGTCAACGAACATTCCGAAAGACATCGATCCTGCTAGCAGCCCGTTTCCAGGGTCTGAGCGGCGGTATTTTAACTCTCTTGACTCTCTCCTACAGGCATATTCAGTTCACCACTTCCCTCCCTCTTCTCCTGTCTCCAAAGGGGGGGGGGTTAGTTATTTGCCGATGGAGATTTAGCCTTTTTACAAAAGGCTTTCCAAGACTTCAGCTTCCAGGCTCATTGCTTTAGTTTATTTACAAAAGGGGAGGCGGACTTCCTGTATTGAACCTCCCCGTTTCGATGCCAAATTAAACGTTTAAAAATCCAATTCCCCCACTTCAGCTCTACTCATGGGTAATTACTTTAGAGTCAAATTGTCCACAGGAAAAAGTCAGTGCTCTCCGGCAACAGCTATGCGGCTTCGCTCCGTGGAAGAAGCAGATGATTCGAAGCACCGCGCCTCTCACCCCACGTTGCTCCGGATCCCCGAAACCGGGTTTCCCCACGAGTAGGGGAGGCGCAAAAGGTGCCCGCCAAATCCCACGTTCACAGGCTTCTCCCGCCTGTGATTTTTACGGGTCTCCGCCTTCGCCGTGGCGGTACAGACCCAAATTCCCACGCGGCAAATTCCTCCCGATCAGAGGAATTCCACCATTGCCGGAGGCACCAACCCAGAATTCCAACCTGAAACTATTCTTAACCTGAAGCACCACTTTAGCTAATGGGGCCTCCTGCTGCTGCTGCGCCACCGGAGCACAATTTCTGTTCTCATCCTGAAGCAAAGTTCTTAACCCAAGGTACTATTTCTGGGTAAGTGGAGTCTGTAACTGAAGTGTATGTAACCTGAAGCGTATGTAACCCGAAGTACCACTGTATATCAAAAATAAAATGTATGACCATTTTAAAAAGTATTAGAAACAGCTAAAATCAATAAGGCAATGAATGGGGAAGGAATTCCATGGTGTTACTTTAATTCAACCTCTGTCAAGAGCTGCTAGGATTGCCAAATAACCTGAAAGACTATTGCTTTGTGCCTTTGACAACAGCTTGTTCTGTGAAGTCACACAGTGAAACTTCATTTTGTATGAAGATAAATGTTCCTGTCTGATAATGTCCACTGATCAACCTGATTCTAAAAGCACAGATGCAAGATATCATAATCAGTGTTGCAAGATTTTAATTTTAACTGACAAGCAGCTGCAGGACCTCAAACTGATTAGCCAGCATTTGCAGTGTAGGAGAAGCCTCTGGGGTCATTTGGCTGATCTACATTAAATTTTTCCTCCTAATAGGAGCTGGGAAAGGAGGCATTTTTGATGGGGGGAAATACTTGGGAGAAGAAGGGACCAGAGCAGCTATATTGCAATATCTTTTAAGATGCTTCCCATTTAAATGTGTTTGGGGAGCCCAGAGCAGAGAATATGGAAGGTATAACCTTCTGGATCAGGCCAATGTCTCTTCTTGGAGCCAGCATGGTGTAGTGGTTAAGAGCGGTGGTCACGTAATCTGGGGAACCGGGTTTGCGTCTCCGCTCCTCCACATGCAGCTGCTGGGTGACCTTGGGCTAGTCACATTTCTTTGAAGTCTCTCAGCCCCACTCACCTCACAGAGTGTTTGTTGTGGGGGAGGAAGGGAAAGGAGAATGTTAGCGGCTTTGAGACTCCTTAAAGGGAGTGAAAGGCGGGATATCAAATCCAAACTCTTCTTCTTCTCTTCTGATCCAGCATTCAGTTACCAGCAGATGACTTCTCGAAAGCAGCAATCAAGCGCACTCTCCCTTCCTGTGCTTTCCAGCAATCGGTATTTGGAAGTATTTCTGCTTCCAGCTGTAGAGGCAGAGCATAGACATCTTGGCTGTCCAATCCACTTTTAAAACCATCCAAGTGGGTGGGCATCGCTATCTCCTGAACCTTCCAACATTCATTGGACGTCCATGAGTTCCATTGTTGGAGAATGAGAAGCAGTGTGGTGTAGTTCCCTGGGCCTTGGAGTTCCCTAACCTATTGGTATTGGGGGACTTCAACATCCACGCTGATGCCACTCCCTCCTCACAGGCTCTGGACCTGGCGTCTTCCGTGGCAACACTAGGGCTCTCCCAGCTTGTTTCGGGCCCCACACATCAAGCAGGCCACACGCTGGATTTGATCTTTGGCGTTGGTATAGATGTGATCATGTCTCCTTCGATGAATGTGCCATGGTCTGATCACTACGCTCTGAAAGCCAGGATTGACTTTCCACCCCCACCCTGCTTAGGTGGCGAGCCGATTTGGGCTCGCCCGCAGAGGCTGATGGACCCTGAGAGATTCCGCCAAGCCTTGCGGGACCTTGCTCCCCCTGGCGACTCATTGACTGAGCTAGTTGAGGGCTGGAATACCGAGTTTACCGAGGAGCTTTGGAAAATGAAGCGGGACCTCAGACGGCTAGAGCGAGTATGGTGGGGTGCCCGTGACGGAGCCTCAAAAACATCTTATAGGGTTTTTATAAAAACCTATGAGATGGCAGTGAAGGCCGCTAAGAAGTCTTACTTCTCGGTCTCCATTGCATCCGCTAGCTCTCGCCCAGCACAATTATTTAGTATAATCAGGTCTTTAATGTCCCTTGAAGGACAGCCAAATTTAAATAACAATTTGACACACAGCTGTGAGGCATTTGCGAGCTTTTTTGCGGAGAAGGTCCTGTTGCTCCGCCATGACCTCCCTGCCAATTTCGATGCACTAAAGGAACTGGAGGCCCCTCGACTGTCCTCGGGTCCAGTATTGGACCACTTTGACCGGATATCCCCAGCCAATGTAACAGACTCCTCTGAGCTGGAAAGCCCACCACCTGTCCTCTCGACCCATTATTTTCTTTATTTCTGCCTTCCAAAATCTTATTAATTTCCATTACATTCCAGTCATAATAATAATCCCTTATACAACAACTGCAATATTAATAACTTCTATTCATGTTGACACGTTAAATGATTTATGAAACTACAAGTGAGGAACTCAAACTACATCCTTGTTCTTCCTGTGTGTGGCAATATTTCTGCCTGAGGTGTTTCTTCCAGTCCTTGTAAGAAGTTATGTCTCCCCACCCACCCAGTTGTGGCTGTTATTCTTCATGCCTTGGGTGGAGCTGATATCCCAATGTTGTTCCAGAAATTTCTCCCTTGCTCCATCCTGTGCTTCGTTGTTTTGCAACTTTAACAAATCCTAGAATACATATCAACCAAAATATAGACCACAAGAATAATACTACATCCACACTTCCAAAATCTAGCATACATCCAAATGTTATGCTAGGTGGGACCTGGAACAATAATTGTCTCTTCTTCTTCTTCTTCTTCTTCTTCTTCTTCTTCTTCTTCTTCTTCTTCTTCTTCTTCTTCTTCTGAAATAATTTTTATTTGATTTTTACAAGATTATAACAATACCAAATCCATATCCACATTTAGAGATTTCTCTGAATCTTCAGACTTCCCCCTTCCGCTCCATGGGTCTTATTATCAACCTTTTCAACTGCATATTATTTCCTCATCCAAATTTTATGTCACTCCATTTTATCCACAATAATTTCTACATTACAAGTGTTATTGCAGTCCTGCTAATGTTTTCATCTGCTGACAGCGGTGTCTCAAGTTTGCCATTCTTCTCTGGTAAGGACTTTGTCTTCATTCCATCTCTGGGCAAGTAACATCCATGCGGCTGTCGTTGCATACGTAAAAAGTCTTTTCTGTTCCTTTGGGATCTTGGTACCTACACTTCCTAATAAAAAGGTTTCTTTATCAAAGTTATTTTAAACATTTTAAAAATTCATTATATATCATTTCAGTTCATTATATATCATTTCCTTTGGGAAAGAATAACTGTCTCTTCCTGCACAGGGCTCTGGGGCTTGGTGAACAATGCGGGAATAGGTGTCCCATCAGGTCCCAACGAATGGCTGACCAAAGATGACTTTGCAAAGGTGATCAATGTCAACCTGCTAGGGTTGATTGACGTGACGCTACACATGCTGCCGCTGGTGAGGAGAGCCAGAGGGAGGGTGGTCAATGTGTGCAGTGTGAATGGACGCCTGGCCTGCTTCGGAGGCGGTTACTGCCCATCAAAGTTTGGTGTGGAAGCCTTCTCTGACACCCTGAGGTAAAAACAAGCTCTGTAGCCTACTTTTGGTTTGGTTTGGTTTAGTGACGTGGTGTTTCTCCAGGTGTAGGGAATAAAAACAGGTGTTGGGAAATCAGGCTGCTGTCAAGGGCTGAACCTTCAATCACAGATCAAAAAGCAGACATTTGCACTGTTTGAGAAATAAGGATCCAGCTCATGCTATGCCCACACTGGACCTGAAATACATTTGCTCATCTCCAGATCTGCGGGGAAATATGTTTTTTCAAAATGCAAGCCTGAGATGAGATGGGAGGGGGAAGGTGGGTGCGTGGACTCCACAGATCTGATTGAATTTGCTCCACCACTGATGAGAGGCCATCACCTCTGCCAGCCCCCCTCCAGACCCCCAGATGAGGATGCAACCCTGGCAGCACAGGGGCCAAACCATCGTGCTAACTGCCTCCCCGCCATTTGGTGAGGGTGGACGGAGAAGTTGTGGCTGGTTCTCAAAGATGGTTGGTTGTGTTTTGAGAGATGACAGCATCTTCAGAACAGTAGATCATCTGGGAGGGGCACCAGAAGGGGCAGGCTGGGTTACAGAAGGTCTTGCTGCCTCCTCCTCCATCACTACTGCTGCCTGCACCACCTTGTTGTCTCTGCCGGAATACACACAGGGCCATCAAGGGGCTGCAGGGTCCCTGCCAGAGAGCTTGGCACAATTAGGACATGTTCAGTTTTTCACCTTTCAAATTCCAAAAATGGGGGTGCTAAAAAGTTGTAACATGACTTGGGAATTCAAAAGATATTTTGCTTCAATTGATACCATTTAGTTTTGATTGGTAAGTAAAATGTGTGAAATTGCATAGAAATCATTAAAAATGATTGACAAGGACTTGCAGTTATATTATTATTATTATTATTATTATTATTATTATTATTATTATTATTATTAAGCATTAATTACCTGACCTTTTCAGAAGGCAAAATAAAAATTCTATAATTTGCTGAGAGCAGCTGGTGTGCTTTTTAATCAAATGTAGGTTTACCAAGCTAAATGTTGCCAAATCAAAACAGTAACAGCAGATTTGAATTTCCCAAACCCAAACACATACTTTTAAGTCCCCTCACGGAAGAAATTTGCAAAAATTAAGCTTCCGTCCAGAAAAGAACACCCCCTAATTGGCACATGGCCAAGGTGTGCAGCACTCAGGCACATGCCAGGAAAAAGAAAGATGAGGGAGTAGAGCAACCAGCTAAGAAGGCAGGCAGAGGCCAGGCCTGGGTGGCTGGGTGACCCTGGCGCAGACCCCACCTGCTCCTGCTGAGGACCCCTCCCTCTCGCAAGGCCACCAGCTTGGCTGACTCTGCCCTCTGCCAGGCCTGGCAGCCCTGCTCCCCCAGAATCCCCAGGCGCCTAATTTGTTTTGCATGCCCGGGACCTTTCCTAGCAGTCAAACAGCCCACTATATTTTAGTCTTCAGTAGGAAATGATGTTTCTTGACTTTTCCTCCCTCGTTCAGAAGAGAGCTCCATTCTTTTGGAATCAAAGTCAGCATTGTTGAACCAGGTAGTTTCAAGACACCCATACAGTCAAAATCAGCTGAGTCCTACGAACCTTTATGGAGCCGGTTACCTTCTGACCTGAAGGAATGCTATGGGCGGAAGTACTTTGAGCAATGTGAGTAGACCTGGGGGAGAAACTCAGTTTGGTATGAAAGCTACCTAGTTCACACTTAACAAAACAACACATGAATCAACGAAACAACACATGAACCAAAATTCAGACTCATGTAAATTTAGTAATGCACTTTCCCCAAACAATAATGTGTACAAAAATACATACTGTTACACAAGCCTGGTGTCTGCCCCCTCAACAACTCTGCACTCCCCCCCAAAAGTCACGCCAAGTCTAATCCATATCCCAATTAAGCCTGGTATTTATTAATTTCTAGGGCTTAGCTATATCTATAACAATACATTAGTAGAAAGTATGTATCAAAAGTGAAGCTAGCATACAAGAATACTCTGTGTTAGAGAAAACTGCTTGCAAAAATGTGTCCCTTGTGGAAAATTGCATATAAAAATATTAAGAGAAATTGGCACTGAAATGCTGGTAAAATTTTGTGAGAATTTTCAAACCACAAACTGAAATGTGGAGAACTGAACTTAAAGGTTGAATAAATGAGAAACAGAATCTAAAATTGACAGGCTGAGCCATCCCTGACTGAAATTTCTTTTTAAAAAAAATATGAAACTATATCTAGTGGCAGCTATGTATAGAAAATTATTCAAAACATCCACTCCAAGATGACACCCAATGATTCCACTTTCTATAAACCAATATTTCCATTAATCCTCAAACCCAGATATCATAAGTTCATTTTCTTTTTCATGCAAAAAAGTGTATAAGGCGTTTCCAATCTTTAATAAATAGTGACAATGATTATTCAGATGACACAACCTTGATGGGAGAAAGTGAGGAGGAATTAAAGAACCTTTTAATGAGGGTGAAAGAAGAGAGCGCAAAATATGGTCTGAAGCTCAATATCAAAAAAACGAAGATCATGGCCACTGGTCCCATCACCTCCTGGGAAATAGAAGGGGAAGAAATGGAGGCAGTGAGAGATTTTACTTTCTTGGGCTCCATGATCACTGCAGATGGTGACAGCAGCCACGAAATTAAAAGACGCCTGCTTCTTGGGAGAAGGGCAATGACAGGCCTAGACAGCATCTTGAGAAGTAGAGATGTCACCTTGCCAACAAAGGTCCGTATAGTTAAAGCCATGGTCTTCCCAGTAGTGATGTATGGAAGTGAGAGCTGGACCATAAAGAAGGCTGATCGCCGAAGAATTGATGCTTTTGAATTATGGTGCTGGAGAAGACTCTTGAGAGTCCCATGGACGGCAAGAAGATCAAATGCATCCATTCTTAAGGAAATCAGACCTGAGTGCTCACTGGAAGGACAGATCGTGAAGCTGAGGCTCCAGTACTTTGGCCACCTCATGAGAAGAGAAGACTCCCTGGAGAAGACACTGATGCTGGGAAAGATGGAGGGCACAAGGAGAAGGGGGCGACAGAGGACGAGATGGTTGGATAGTGTTTTCGAGGTTACCAGCATGAGTTTGACCAAACTGCGGGAGGTAGTGGAGGACAGAGGTGCCTGGCGTGCTCTGGTCCATGGGGTCACGAAGAGTCGGACACGACTAAACGACTAAACAACAACAACAATGATTATTCTCTTATTAAACACGTCAACTTTACCATCCCAGCTAAATCCAATATTATTTACATCCATTCCCTCATGGTAGATAATGATGAATCTTTCGATCTTTGTGCATAGAAGAGTATTGCCACTGTGATCATGTATTGAAATAATGTTCTGCAGTCTTTTTCTAATTGTCTATCCATTATTCCTAGCTGGAAAAGTTCCGATGGCAATTGAATGTGAAACTTTAAAATGTTTGCATCATTGTATGTATTTGAATCCAATATTTCTTGGCAATTTTACAAGTCCACCAAGCATGACAAAATGGGTCTGCATATTTTTCACACTTCCAACAAACATTTCAAACACCTTTATACAGTCTAAATAATTTAACTGGAGTTAGATACCATTGGTACATCATTTTATGTACCTAATCTGCACCTTCAGCTTCCAAAAGATTCTAGGTGCCACCTAGGCTGTTGCAAGGATAATGTTTCTTTTGCTTCATGTTTCTCACAAACAGGTTGCAAAATAAGTGAATATTTCCAAAAGGCTGGCAGCGACAACCTTCACCTGGTCACCGACTGCATAGAACATGCCCTGACATCCTGCTCCCCTCGCACTCGCTACTCTCCAGGCTGGGATGCAAAGCTCTTCTACCTTCCTGTCTCTTACTTTCCAACGTCCATCACTGACTTCGTGATGAGCTGCATTTGGCCTAAACCAGCTCAAGCAATATAGGGTTGTTGTTGTTTTAAAATAGCGACTATAGAATAATCAAAACATACAATACAACAAAGTAAAGAACCAAGAGGCAACTTACTATTATAGATCCACCATTCATAATTAGATATTACTTTGAAACATAGGATCGTTCAATCCAAGATTGATCAAGAAAATTGGAATTTTATTTTCGTGGAAGCAAAGAGGGCTAATAGTAATGAGTATTCACATTTATAGTGAATGAGTATTCACATTTATTAAAGAAAATAAATTGTGGTAGGATCGCTCCAGTGTTTTTTATAGACATCAAAAACATCCACTATATAGTGACATACAGTGGTATCTCTGGTTAAGAACTTAATTCGTTCCGGAGGTCCGTTCTTAACCTGAAACTGTTCTTAACCTGAAGCACCACTTTAGTTAATGGGGCCTCCTGCTGCCACTGCGCCGCCACCGCGTGATTTCAGTTCTCATCCTGAAGCAAAGTTCTTAACCTGAACAGAAATCAATCCAGTGAATATTGATGTAGGTTTGAGGGGGTCAGACTGCATGATGCCCTGGACCCCTTCCGGTTCTTGGGCTTCTGTATCAGTGGGAGTAGAAAGCGTGAGAACAAGTTTTCCAAACCATTCCCTTTGTCTAGGCAATTGTAAGACAATGGCCATGGCTGGATACTTAAGCACCATGATTATCCCAAAAGAATGAGCCATCCTGCAAAAGCTACAACTAAGTGATGGTGTCCTCCCCCCCTCCTCACCTGGCCAGTAGATAGAGAACAAGGGTGTAGCTGAGCTAGAAAGGAGGAGAAGCTAGAAAGACAGGTCCATGTCTGATCTGTGCTGGGCTTTGGAGCTCCCCTAGAAACCTAATCGGGGAGCAAGATCTATTGGGTGGGTGGGGGGGGCACCAGGGGCGCATTGGAAGATGGCCGACAATACCATCTCTCCGGCTCACACGAGGTAATTAGGAGGCTGATATGGGAGTATGCAGCCTCTGTTGTTGCCCCAAGGACATGGGGAACACTGCCTTGCCTGCTGTGGCCATAAATCACCCCCGGTTCCGAAAGAAGGGGGTGAGGGCACTTGGCACAAAACCCTTGTGTGGGTCTGGCTCTTCTGGACACTGTCTCTGATCACGCACTGGCTGCAGCAACTTGAAATAAACAATTAGAAAAGAAGCAAATGCACATATTTCAAGTGAAGAACAGGAGTGAAGACTGCTAATTGAAGTGACCTCTGCAAAAG